GAACAAGTTCATCATATAATTTTGCAACTCTCTACAATGCCAGCTGCTATAAACAGTATGAAATTTATGAAAGTTCGGAAGTGTTCCCACTGTAATAACATAGTATTTCTCAAAAATAATTTACATGCTCTATAACACTCTTTATATATAGCAAATAAAAAGCTAATCCTAAGTGACAATATGTGGGCAGATAATGAATCACTTGGAAATACTGTGTAGATTTTACATAGAAAATATTTTCATCCATGAAAAGATTTGGAATTTCTTAACCCTTTGCGGTGTCTTGAAACCACAGCAGGAAGCACTGACAAGCTAATAATCTGATAAACTCAATTCTCTACACGGCAGGAGTGAGAGCCCTTCATCTTACAACAACAGTTTGGATGACTTTTTACAAAGAGTAGGAGAGAAAATTATACTCCTCTCCCACATATCAATGGAAATGCTTCCCATGGAGTGACTCAGTCTGAAAACCTAAACAGGAGCATGCGCTCAGCATGCTGTAGGCGGCCACAGCCGGCTTCGCATTAGCTGCCTTGAGGATTTGTGGGGACAACACAGATCGGAGGCTGCCAACAGCAGCAGAAGCTTCTACCTTGTGGGAGAAATTTGGTCCTGTAGCAGAAAAAAGTCATTGGTTCTTCATGCTCCAAAATGTGGCACTTTTTAACTTGATCATCAACAGTATGTTCAAACAGCCAACAAAACAGTCCTTCCTTCTCTATGAAAATAATGATTGTAAACAGCTACATTACTTGCAACTCACAAGGCGCTGTTCTCATTACTTGACATATATTAACTCATTCAATTTAATGCTCACAACATTTGACATATTTATTATTTTTCCCATTTTAGAAGTATGAAAATTGGGACACAGAGATGTTATATAACCTTTGAAAGTCAAAGTACTATGTACTTTGCTGTACTATGGTGGGACCCGGACTTGAATACAAACTGTTTGATATGCTAGCTGCTGAACCAGGAATGCTATGCCAATATCATTTAATTTTTCCCCTATTAATTATGAGGAAAGCCTAGAAGTTGAAACAACTTGTATAGTTGCAGGGTATAATGGACTAAAATTTGTGTCTCCCCGAATGCATATGTTGGAATCCTATTTTGCAATATGGGGGGAGGGGGGACTTTAGGAGGTAAATGGGCTCCCCTGATGACTCACTCATAAAGAATCTGCCTGTTCTGCAGGAGACGCAGGAAACCCCAGTTTAATCCCTTAGTCAGGAAGTTCCCCTGGAGGAGGAAATGACAATTTCTCCTGAGGTCCTGAACCTAGAACTCTGATTAGAGCCCTTATAAGAATCCCAGGAGAACTGACTGCTCCTCTTGTTCTTTCAACCATGTGAGAATACAAGAAGCTGACAGTTTGCAGCTCAAAAGAAGACCTTTATCAGAATCCATGCAGGCAACCCGATCTCAGAATTTCAACCTCCAGAACTATGAGAAATAAATTTCTATTCTTTATAAGTTACCCAGTCTGTGGTATATCATTTTAGCAGCCCAAACAAAGTAAGACATGATACATTATGGCAATTATGGAGAGAACTCAAAATCAGATGACTTGAGGAAAAGATCTATATGGTATTATATGACTAACACAGTGATTTGGTTTCGTGGGGGTAAGAATTCCATGAATTCATTCATCTCAATTAAGAAATTGACAACCACACCTTCATTACCCAAAAGCACATAAAACACTTGTTTGAAATGTACCACATATAACCTTAAGTAAAAGTGAAGTCGCTCAGTCGTGTCCGACTCTTTGCGACCCCATGGACTGTTGCCTACCAGGATCCTCAGTCCATGGGATTTTCCAGGCAAGAATACTGGAGTGGGTTACCATTTCCTTCTCCAGGACATATAACCTTGGCATGCTACAAATATAGACTTAAGTTAATAACTTTTAAAAATTTAGTCACTTAATATATGTAAACAATTTCTTATTGAAAGTCACAAAACAATTAAAATCAAGAAAGCAATTAAAATCTAATAAAGCATTTTCCAATAGACTATGGAAGAATGTCACTTTCCCAACATTGCATTGCAGCATGAAAAATCTAATCCTTAAAGGCTGCAAATAAACTGATGACATGTACTGAATAGCATGGTAAAGATATCCCTTTTATAATCTTCAGGCTAATAAGTTTGTTTCCACTTATGTTTTGACAATGGCAATTTATTACACAAAGATACATCTGAATTGTAATGGTCTTTGCTTTTTAATTATACAGAAAACTTTAAGGATTAAATCTAGCACTTTTCATTGCTGTCGAGGTTATTTAAAAAAAAGTAGAAGTTTAATGATCATGGAATCAGCACTATTTATTTCCTTTACAGTTAACTTGTCTTCTTAAAAAATCTGTTTTAATAATGTTCTTATACTTACTGTGTCACTGCTCACTATTTTATGGAATGTCCATTAGTTTTTGCCTCAATAGTTTACAACTTTTACATTTGACAATTTTTATTATACCTGTTATAGGTATTTCTGCAAATTTATTACAAAATGAAGTATTTTAATGATGTAATTAAATGTACTCCCATATTTCTTAGCCAATAAAGTAAAAGTAGTGGTTAATAATATATTTAATATTTTAGCATTAAATTCTACTTATCAGTTCAAATGAAATTTGAATATTTGAGCAAAGGTTATTCTAAATAATAATTTAGCTGCTGTGGCAATAATTTATCTAATTTATATTAGTGCCTCCACAGGTATGTTTCCTGTAGGTACCTGAGCACTGGAAAATATATTTCAAAAGTCCAGCTAAGTTCAACATAACCTAAACAAAACCATTATGTGTAATTTACTTAGGGAATTATGTCACCAAACTCCCCTGTCTTTCCAATCAAATTTTTAGAGCTGAAATCTGCTTCTTTCTCTCTCAATTCTCATATTTTATTATTTCCTAAATTCTCTTCCATTAGTTTTAATGATATAATATTAAATCTATGTTTTTATTATCATCTTTCTCCATTCAAATTTTTAGTTTATTGCAGTAGCTCACTGCCATAATTTTAGTCTGTTTCAAATACTATTTTCATATTTGCAAATTCAGATTCTTGGGCTATAGTCCTGTTCATAACAACCCACCCTTAGCATCCTACAAATACTTTTCACTGTCTAACTCAAGTTGTGTACTGTATATTTTAATTCCATCTCATTTTTACAGCCTTAATTCACTCACTTCTTTAATTTGTGTTGTAGCTAAATGTGGCTCATGTCACTTTTTCAAATATATGCTAAATTTTTATTTTAAAATATATCATTTTTCTCCATGTACCTTGTCTTTTTTTTTTAATTCATTTCAAATTCTCCTTTCATGAAGATTTCACTTTCTCCCTATCTCAAGTGGTACACTGTAACCCTATAGATACCTAAACTTTGCTTGTAGCCCTTAGATTATATTTTATCTAGATCTAGAGTCATTTATCCATCAGTTCCTAGCCTTCATTGAACTGTAAATTCCAAAAATGCATATCTGCACTTCCCACCATGCAAAGCAGAATACGCTCCATAAAGATGTTCAGAAATATTTACAGTAAAGAGCATATAAAAATTAGAAAACATAGGTAAATCATTTTTAGTCAACTTCAAAACTACTGAGTATAAACATGCTGACAAGAATTTAGCCATTCTGGACTAAAGAGAAGTAGATGAACCATGCTTTCAGGGGCTCCAAACAGTTTTTGAAGCTGGGACCACATTTTGATATCAATTATTTGCCCTCTCCCTCCCAATTTGGTAGTCGCTGTTTATTTTGTTTTGTTTATTTTTAATCATTATTGATGGAGAAAACTCACAGGTTCTTAAAGGAATTTGCATCTTCCTCGCAAATACCCACCAGCACGCTCAAAACCTTACCCAGAACACTTCAGCCCTCCAGCTGGAAAGACTGGAATACCTATTTATTGGCCGTTTCAGATAAACAGACATTCTAAGACAGTTCCTGTCTTATAATATGTATCCCATAAATGTGAGTGTTATTATTCACTTACCTATCTACTTATTATTATTCAAGATCCCTCATTTGAGTTTAATCCTTTTCTCCACCTCTCCTTCAAAACATCATTCAATTCATTCTTGTCACTTCTCTCCTACAAACCCCAACTCTTGGCATAAGCATCTCCAGCCAGCTGCTCCACCTTCTGCATCCTTCACTACTCTGTGCTATTGGTTCTTTCTCACTGTCCATTTCTTGCATTTTAGTCACTCATAATCACCATTCTTATGACATTCTCTGCTTAGTTTTTCTCTACTCATCATGCTCCCAGCAACCTTTTGCTGCTTTCTTAGTTGCTTCATTTTCTCTAATACCTTGACACAGCTGTCCCCTCATATTTACAGTTGAAACTCAATTTGTGAAATATATATATTTTTGAAAATCCATGGTAGAAACAGTAAATACAATCCTGCTGTTTATGTGTAAAGACAATCATATTTTAAAACTACACACTATAAAGCAAATCATCATGGCTTATCTTTGTATTAACACACACACCCTAATACCTTCTCTTTCTTTTACAATCTCTTATTCTATTCTTTATTTTTATTTTACAACCTCTTATACATGTGGGATTGGCCACAATGTATCTAAGACTCCCTATTCCCAGTCTTACAGAAATGTTATGCTAAAAAACACAGGGAAAAAATATCACTTTTCCTCTTACTTCTGCTGATCCTTCTTCTTGGTTACAGACTCACCAATCTCTATTTTCCCAAACTGCTTTATCCTTTGTGTCACACCTATTACAGCTAGAGGGTTTCCAAGTTCAGTTTTGCATCTAACATCCAGTTCTTTTTCTTCTAGATTTAGTGATTTTCCTTTTCCTCACACCAAACAAGTAGCTTCAAGTCCACTTACTTGCAAACACAAAAGACATTTATCCCGATGCTGAACAGGACCTATAATCTGTTTTTGTAGGTATATAATATGTCATTTAAAATAAATACCAAGTAAAATCATATCAATATGAATACTTACACTCAGCATATTTCTGAAGCTGGGAAAATTCTGAGGGACTGAGGTGGGCCCACTTTTCCTGGTTTGTCATGGTGGTGGTCAGGAGATCTCTTACATGCCAGGTGAGGAATTCTTTATTCAGATTTTGGCAGAATTTAGGCTTCAAAGTTTCCACATGGCAAGTTTCATTATAAAATATGTCATGCTTTCAAACTATGCAATCTGTCAACATGAGACCGCTGTGGATATGAGTTTGTAGTTTCAATAAAGTATTAAATCACTGTAGAAAGAAAAACATAAAGATTGAAAGATTAGCTTTATTAAGTGAAGAAAAAAACTGACAAGTTATAGAATGCTAAAGATTTTTAATTCCTAAATAATATATTTCAAAGCTATTCTATTTTGCATAACAATATTTCATTGCTCACTCTTTAATGGCATTTAAAATACATTTTCTAATGCCAAATCATAGAAGAAATATGATTAAAAATACAAAGTGTGAAGAAAATTTTATAAGGTCTAGTTTCATACAAGCAGGTTTTTTATGTTGTTCAGCTTTATAAACTCCATATTCCAAGAGTAAAGAAAGGTGCCATTTTTATCAATCTGAACTGATCAGTTTTTTAAATATCTAAATGACTGTTATGTTTAAACCCAAATTTTTAAATGAAGCTAAGTAAGATCTAAGTTACCTAAACAAACAATCTGCTGGTCTGTTAATTTTCTAACAATGGTTTGGAATGGTAGCACAGATATTTGTGTGTGTGTGGGTGTGTGTGTGTGTGTGTGTGTGTGTGCAGTCACTCTGTCTGATCCTTTGTGACCCCATAGACTGTACCCTGCCAGGCTCCTCTGTCCATGGGATTTTCCTGGCCAGAGTACTAGTGTGGGTTATCATTTCCTCTTCCAGGGGATCTTCCCAACTCAGGGACAGAACCTGCATCTCCTGCCCTACAAGCAGATTCTCTACCACTGAGGAAGCCCACAGCATGTATATTTACAATTATGCATATCAGTATGGGAGTCATATGAACTGACTGTTTTCCTAATGGTAAAAAAGAAAAATTAATTATCCCATTTAAAACTCCCAATAACATTTACCAAACTAAAGCAATTTCAAATGTCTGACTGACTTTCATAACGATAGTAGATAGAACTACTGTGAATCACGCTTAAAAATAAACCCCTAGGCTGTCATGGCCCTGCATTCACTGCAACATCTATAAAAGCAAACAAAATGAAAAACCATCTGGCTTTAACTTTTTATCAGAGACAGTAATCTATCGCTCAGTGACCCACCAGACTGGCGCTGTAATCATTATTTAGAAACAATTACTTAGTTTATGCAATTAAATCACTGGAAGGCTTAAGAGTATAGATGTCATTACCTAAAGGCATGGAAACTATATTTAGCATTAATGCCTAATCTTTTTTCAACATCTCTTTACTCTTCTCCACTATCAACTCTACAACCTTACTGTCATATTCTGTCATCTTACCCTAAAAAAAAACTACAACAACAACAACAAATCTCTTTGTGTTGGTCTCATATGTTCAGGGTTCCGGCAATTAGTTTTACAAGGTGACAGTCTGCTTTTAAATGGAAAAAAAAAATGAAGATACCCATGCATTAACAGAGACCAAATTGCTAGATCTTTTTTTTTTTTTCTCCCAGAGCATGCTCTTACATCACAACCATAACACTGTGGAAGCAACACAAACTAAAAGGAATGAGACTATGTGATAGATAATTTTGCGCTTTCCACCCAGTTTCTTTCTGCTGATTTCATCCTTCACATTGATTTCATCCTGACTCTTTGCTTCTCTCCAGTTAGATGCCATTTTGGTGGGACTGTAAAATAAGGTGCCCTGTTGTATCCAGAGGGAGACAGATGATTCAGTAACATTTTGATCATCAGACTCCATCTCATGGGGCTTTTACTGTTGAATGGACTTATGCAAGAACAGCATGAAAATAGCTCTGGTCTCAATGATTACAGCAATAATGAGGATACCTGTCCCTGTTTGAGCCTGACGCTCTAGGTATCCTGTCACTTCTAAAGGTATCATTATTTTAATAACAAATAAGCGGGCCAGAATCAGTTTCTGTTACCTACAACCTAAAAGCCTCAACTGATGATAATGGCAGTTCATTAATTCATTCCAAAAAATGTTTATCAATCTCTTGTGTGCTTGAAAGCATTCCAGACACCAGAAATATAACAAAGAAACACACAAAAGATGAAAATAAGGCAAGTTCAGCAATATGTCAGTTTTACTAATAGCTTACAGTATGCAGGACATTCTCCTGACAGCATTTATGTGTTGGATTATTCAATCTTTACCAAAGAACTCTGTGAGGCACTAACAGTCTCCTATTTTGGCAAATGAAGAAATTGACCCACCTGTTAGGAATCTGACAAACAGGACAGAGACTGCGAGAAAGCCACACAATACCCATTCTTTCTTGCTTTGTTGGTAACAAGAAACCTAATTTTATTAAATGAAAATACATCCACCTAAAGATTCCTTGGGTTCTTTGCATGAAGAAGTGGTCAGTGAGATGTGGCAGATGTTGGATGAGATATATAGGAAGGTTCTATTTGATGGAAGAGCTGGAAAGTGCTCTTTTAATCTCTTCTCTCTGCCTCCAACTTCCTACCTGGAATGTTGACACATTAGCTACAAATTCAGCAGTTTCTTATTCTAGTGAGATAACTTTTAGAATGGAAGCCATATGCTAAGAATGGAAGTCTCATAAAGTAGACCAAGGCTAGGCAAACAACTGATTACAGAAAATACTGGCTCACCAGCTATTTATGTAAATCAAGTTTTACTGGAATGCAGACAAACCTCTTAGAGAAATAAGAGGCCAAATTTTACAGAATTTCAATGCTAAATAAAGAGGTTGGGGCACTATTCTGAAGGTAACAAGGAACAAAAAGAAATACAGGAAAGGCAAGAATCCTGATTACATTGGGAAAATGTCATTTTGGAAAAATGTCAATGTCTTCATTTAGTTTCTCATTCACTCAGATTGTGATAGCTTCTTAACCCACTCCCCTGGTCTCTCTACTTTCCTTAACATGGCCTGTCCATGGGTATTCATGAACTGACATGATTCCAGAGGTCTGTCTGATAAATTACCAACAAGCTAATTAAAATTACAATAACAATTTATTAATTAACTATAGGTTTCCACCTGGATACCTGCTCTGAAATTTACTAAAATTCCTCAGATAATTTGGTATAAGAAACTCAAATTTAAAATGACGTGTTTAGACTGTCATGCAGAGTGAAATAAGTCAGAAAGAGAAATACAAACATCATATATTAACACATATATGTGGAATCTAGAAAAATGGTACAGATAATCTATGTAAAAAGCAGAAATAGAGACACAGATATAGAAAATAAATGTATGGACACCAAGTGGGGAAGTGGGGTCGTGGGATGAATTGGGATTGACATATATATACACACTATTGATAATATGTATAAGATAAATCACCTACATATAAAATAGATCACTAATGAGAACCTACTGTATAGCACAGGGAACTCTATTTAATGCTTGTGGTGACCTAAATAGGAACAAACTCCAAAAATGGGGAATATATGTATATACACAGCTGATTCACTTTGCTGAAACAGCAGAAACTACTGACACAAATTGTAGAGCAACTATACACCAATAAACATTTATTTTTTAAATGTTTAAAAAGACTGATTAACTAACATTCTTCAGATCTTTACACAAGTTATGTTTTCTCAGTAAAGTCTCACCTGGTCATTCAACTTACACTTGAACATTCATACACACCACCCCTCCATTACACTTTTGTTTGGAATACAACATCTTATTATCAAATGTTCATATCAAATTTGTTTATTATCAAAAAGGGACATGTCCGACTCTTTTCAAACCCATGGACTACACAGTCCATGGAATTCTCCAGGCCAGAATACTGGAGTGAGTAGCTATTCCCTTCTCGAGGGGATCTTCCCTACCCAGAGATCAAACCCAGGTCTCCCGCACTGCAGGCGATTCTTTACCAGCTGAACCACCAGGAAAGCCCAAGAATACTGGAGTGGGTAGCCTCTCCCTTCTCCGGGGGATCTTCCCAAACCAGAAATCAAACCAGGGTCTCCTGCATTGCAGGTGGATTCTTTAGCAGCTGAGCTACAATTAAAATAACTAAAAATACTTGTTGAACTTGCCTTTCATCTGAACCATATTTATTAGATTTTGAGTCACCATCCTCTCATGTGCTCTAAGATAGAAGTTCCATGAAGGCATGGAGTTTTATCTGTTCACAGCTGGTTCAGTGGGCTTAGAAGAGTGCTTAGGATATGTAAATATTTATAGAATGAATTCACTTAAATGCTTTTTTCCATAATGAAAAACAAGGATAGGGCCGTTAAAAGGAGACCCTGAAATTGATAAAGAAAAAATGGCTCAAAAAGAAGGCATCAGGAACAGAAGTCACTAAAGGTTTCACTTTCCCTAAAGCCACCTCCCCTCCCTTCAACTGACTGGACACAAACAAAATAAGTTGTGCTTAGAGATACGAAGCTTTTACAATTAAAAAAAAAAGCTTTACTTCACATAGGTTCTATGTTTGGTTGTTAAATACAACTGACTTCGTATAAATGAGCATTTCCAAGGGATGCCATAATTGAGCTGTCAGTTAAGCAATATATAATAACACCTACACAGGAGCATCAGGACAATATATAAATTACATCTAGATATTTAACAAAAACACTACATAGCTTTTCTTTATTTAGCATTATCTTGTCACCTTTGGTCTGCACTTTTTGTATCAAGGACAGGATTTCTGAATTGATCTAATCCATTTGCATTTTAGCAAGAGGTATTTAAAGGGTAATGACATCCCTGAAGGACTCAAGTTCTCTGGTTCTTTGATCTGGTTAATTCCAACACCAGTATGATCTGAATAGAATTTCTCCTTCTGATTCTTCTCCTAATGGAAGCCTTTTGATTTTCACAATTCTGGTTATTTCAAGCTCTCACATACGCAGCCAAATAAGAAAATAAGTAAGGGTGGGGTAAAAATGAAGACGGTTTTCCTAATCAAATGTTTTAAACTAGTTGAAATAATGTATCATAAGTCTGTAAAGAAAAATGTTGCATGTGTAATATTAAATCAAGAGGCATAGCTATGCCTCAGAAGCAGATGGGAATGATGGCAACATTTCCTTATAGTCTCTGCCTCTTTATAAATGTATACAAAGAAAATAACAGTATTCAGCTGA